TGCTTGGGTGTGTGTTACCCAGAGAAGCAGGACAGGAAGCCCAGGAGCCCTGGGAAGACMGCAGAGCACTGGAACCTTGGGACTGTGAGTCAGGCTTGGTCCACAGCAGAGACTGGTCCAAATGGGTACACCTGGGGGAGGCCAAAGGGAATTGAGGGGGATGCCCCTGCCCTGGCTTACAGGGTTCTGCAGAAGGCCCTGGCCATGGGCACCCTCTAAGCTTGGGGCTATGGCCACAGGGACAACTTCAGCACCCACTGTGGCCACTCCCACCAAAGGCTCCTGAAGGCCTGGCACTGGCACTGCTGAGTCCCCAGGTCTGTGTGGGAGCCTCAGGGTCTGTTTAATTCCATAAGCGTTGTGAGCACTAGCTTCTTGCCAGGGGCCAGCAGTGCCAAGGTGCATTGGGGAATGGAGACCCCCACCCCCTGAGCAGTACCACCCGGGGTCGCTTCTCGAGGTGGCCTGCACGGCTCCTGTCCCCAGTGAGGAGGCCTCCCAGGCCTGCCTCTCTGCAGAGMTGCCCAGTTTAACTGACAAAGGGAGAAGGATCTGTTTCCAGCCAGTGGGACAGCACAGAGTCGCAGTCTCCCCAGAGCTCCCCTCTGCTCCCAGGCAGGCCAGGCCAGGCCAGGAGCGGGGGGACCCTTGGCTGCTCTCCTAGAGGTGCCCTGGGAGCTGGCAGACAGTTCCCCAGTCCTGTGTGTCCTCTGCTTCCCAGTTGTCCTCTGCAGGGGRACCTCAGAGGCATGGGGGTTCCAAGGAGATGAGGTCTGGGAACCGAGTTGAGACCCGAGATTGGCCAAGGGAAGACAACTTCACCCATTTTTGACAGCTGCCTCCATCCCAGTGCAGGGGGAGACCCCCAGGCTGGGGCTGATGGATTTGCTGGAGGAAGTCTGGCCTGCTTGACAGAAGGCCGGGCTCCCAGGGCTACCCTCCCCTGCCTCCTCYCCCAGGAAGGCAGAGAGCTCGGACTGCCTGTTGGTGGAGCACACAGACGAGGAGCATTGAGGAGCTCTGTGGGGTGCTGCTGGTCCCTCAGAGGCCAAGGAGGTGCTGCATGGCCCCGTCTTCTCTAGATGGGGTGTGGGGGTCAGGTAAAAGACAAGGGGATCTGGGAAGGGCCCTGCTCTCCCTCAGCCCTCACAGAGCTCTGTCCCCTACCTCAGGCACCGGGGTCCCCAGCCAGGCCTTGCCCACRGTGGCCTGCACGCTGGAGGGAAGGCCACCCGCTGCTCCCTGGCTCCTGCTGGCTCCTCGAGGCCTGCCTGGGTCACGCCCAGGAGCCCAGTGAGCGCATGTAGGCACATGTGGGCTGCCGCGGGCCGGGCATGTCCTAATCAGCCCACTCTCTTGGGAGTTCTTCCTGAAAGCAAAACAAACCAAAAAAGTCCTGGTTCTGCCCAGGTTTCTCCCCACGGCCAAGAGCGTCTCACCTGGGTTTCCGGGGCCTTTGGTTCTAGGGGACCTTGGGCTTCTGTGTGGGCCTCGCTGGGTCTCCCTGGCGAGACYTCCCTGTTTCCAAGTTTGCCTGGAGTCAGGAGGGGTCCCAGGCAGAGCCCCKAGTAAGCAGGACCTGCAGGCGGGACGCCAAGTGTCTCAGGGGACACCTGGGGCAGAGAAGGAAGGGCCAGGAGGAGGCCCCTGCAGAAAGCCACCTACGTTTCCTAGTTAGTGGGCTCTCGACCTCCCACTCGGACACAGTAGGCACGGTGGCCAGGCAGGATGAGTGTGCCAGGGTGTCCCTGGGGCCTCGGGAACTGGAGGAGGCATGCTGGAGACTGGCCAGCCCAGTGCTCCTGGGAGTGGCCTCTGACCATGAAMTGTCATCGAGCCCGTGGGCCGCAGGTCAGAGGAGGCCGGAGTGACGGGTGAGCCAGCCTCTGTTCCTCCGCCGAGGCTGTGTGGACTGCAGTGGGCGGCGACGCTGATGGTCCGGGCTTGCTCAGGGCCAGAGGACATTTCCTCACATCTCGCGGCGCTCCTGCTGGCGGGCCTCCTGCTGGAAGGGCCCCGGTGCCTCCTGCAAACCGCTCAGGCGGAGATCCTATCAGTCCTCTCCTCTTGGTTCAGTGACTAATTCCCTGGCGCTGTCCTCAGATCATGAAAGAATGTGGGCAAGTTAAAATCCGAACCTCGTCGTCATGGGTCTGCACGGGCTCCTGGCCCGGCTGGCCTGGGGTGTCCTGCCATCAGGGATGGAGCAGGGCCGGGGCACGGGAGCCTGCCCACACCCGCATCTAGACCCGCAGGGAGGCTGGGCTGGGTGCCCCTTGCTCAAGGAGCTCCCACATGCAGGAGGAAGGAAGCCCTCCCTGCAGCTCTCACCTGGCCCAGCACCCTGCCAACCGGGAAGACCCTTCCCAGAGGGCCACGCTCTGGTGGAAGAGGCCAGCTCCTGCCTGCACCAGGGTGAGCTGACCTTTGCCCACCAGGTGGAAGTGTGCAGCCATCACCAGCTTGGCTCACCTCCACACCCCCACACCTCCACTCAGTCACTCATTCTTCACTCCACCAGCAAACCTCAGAGTGCAGACAGAGGGTGCAATCCTCTAGCGCCATCCAGTAGAGACAGCGGCTCTGTACTGGGCGCGTACACACTTTCCCCGTCTCTGATCCCTGAAGAGTGCAGCGTAATATCTATTTGCACAGCAATTTCGTTGTTAGCATCACTCGTCCAGAGATGGTGGAAAGCCTCTAGGGCGGGCACAGGTTCTGAGCCATACTGGCCACCTGGCTTAGGGGCTTGAGCATGCACAGGAGACATTTGGTATCCATGGAGTCCTGGGCCCAGTCCCCACATGGGAAGATGACCACTAAACATGAGCTGTGGGTGCAACTCTGCAGTTACTAGTAGCCACACTCAAAAGGTGGATGCGATTTAATAATTTGTTTACCCAAACCAGGATGGTTCAGGGTGTGAATGTGGAGTGGCAGACGAGGCTGCTGCTTTCCGTGGCCCAGGCCTGGGCATCAGGGCGGGCTTGCACCTGCAGCTCAGCACGACTCATCCTGCCATTCCTCAGGCTGTGTCAGCAGGACCTTCTGGACAGCGTGGGTCCTCTTGGCTCCCAGTTCAGTAGGGGACGCTCAAGCCACACCTTCCAGAGAACCAGAGTGAGATGGGAGAGGACCCCAGGAAGTGAGGGTCTTTCCAGCTGGTGTCGCCTCTGAGCCGTGGCCTCTGAGCTGAGGATGGGGTCAGTCAGCCTCAGTGGTGCTGGCGAGGTGGGCAGGGTCTGTCCCACAGGGGACACTGTCCCATCAATAGAGGGTCCCCCAAGTCCATGGCCCGAGGCCCGTAGGCTGTTTCCATATGGTGGCAGGTTTGGCCAGACCCTGTACCACAACTTTCCCAGGAGAGCCCCGTGTGGCCGCCCCGGAGGACAGGGTATGGATTCCACCCAGTGGTTGGATGGCAGCTGGCCATCCTGGAGCTCGCGTACCCAAGGAAAGCCCCTACCTTGCTCTTGGTGTTGCTGCGAGCCATGACCTGCCCCTGCCCTCCCGCCCCTCTCTCATCCTCCTGGACAATCTTCCACTGAGCCCTCCTTCTCCGGACTGCCCTCAGCTGCCCAGCCTGCCCCTGGGTTCAGGACTCTGGACAAAACCCAGGAGTGGCAGGGGCCCTGGGGCCAAGGGCTCTTGTCACGGACTCCCAGGACTTGTGGCCTCTGCGCAGGCTGTGCTGGGGGGACTTGGGGTCATTAAGCCCAGCCCCCCTTGGAAGAAGGGGGGCTGGGGTGCAGGAAGAGCTGAGCATGCCCCCACCCTCCCAGCCCTGCTGGGGACTCACGGGGGAGCACAGGACAGGCCCGCACCCACCCCCGTGTCCAGGAACCTGTTTGTTTTCCAGTTTGGAGGAGGCAGGGTGGTGGGAGGGAGGACTTTGGTGGGTTCCAAGGGCTCCAGGAGGGAAGTGCGGAGTAAGGGGTCGCCTGCTGGGTCCCCCTTCACTGTCCCCTGTCCTGTGTTTGCCGCTGGATCCCCCGGTCACTTCTGCCCTCCAGGCCTCGGGCTCCTGCTCTGTAAAATGGGGACAGAGCAGTGCCCACAGGGCCTGTGGAGAGGRCAGTGCCCACGACCCTGGGCCGGGGAAAGAGCCCTGCAGCCCCTCCTGCAAGGACCCAGTCTGGCCCGGGGAGCCCTTCAGTGTTACCCTCCCCAACCTGCCTCCTGCGGGAAGCCTCTGGATTTGGAAAGGGCCTTCCTGGGCCGGGCCTCCAGGCGAGGCTTGCTCTGGACCCAGACACTGGGGACTCTGAAGCTGCTGGGGAGGCTGACCCCTCCGGGGGTCCCAGGGCCCCACCAGGCACAGTCCCTGTTCCTGGGAGAGTGGACCTGGGAGGAGCTGGGCTGCCAGGAGGCCCTGGGAGGGGGGCTGTCCACCCTGCCTGGAGGCTTCTTGGCCATTCTGATGGAGACAAGGCCAGCTACTTGAGGAAACCAGTGAAAGTGGTCGTTGGGGACTCTGGGGACACAGGGAATATTGGGCTCAGCCACTGACATGCAGCCCCCACCTGGGTGGCTGGATTCAGGGGCCACATCTGGTCCCCCAGAGCCTGGTGGCACCCCTGGCTCCAGAGGGTGCTCCAGTCCTGCCCGCCATGGCCTGGCTCACAGGGCTGCCCTGGGGAGAACAGCGGAGCATCAGGAGCGGGGAGCCCCACACCCCATCAGCTCCGCTCCAGGCTGCAAAGCCCCGATTCCTCCCGGGYGGCTGGGTGGATCCCCAGAATCCCTGGCACTCAGGGAGGCGATGGAGAGGGGCGGGCAAGGTGAATATGTCAGTTTATCCCAACACAAGTAGTGGCCTGTTGGGGTGGGGTGGGGGCCTGAGGAAATATTTGGGATGACTGGAGCCGGCTGGCCCTTTAAGGCTCCTGTAACAAGACACCTCCCCGATGGGACCAGGACGGGCTGGGGCTTCCACCCGCTTCCACCCGCAGCCCCGCCACCGACAGAGTTTCTCCCTCCCTCCGCCCCCTTCCCGCCAGGCCCAGTTCAATTTGCTCAGCAGCACCATGGACCAGATGAGCAGCCGCCCGGCCCCAGCCAGCCCCTACACCCCCGAGCACGCGGCCAGCGTGCCCACCCACTCGCCCTACGCGCAGCCCAGCTCCACCTTTGACACCATGTCCCCGGCGCCCGTCATCCCCTCCAACACCGACTACCCTGGCCCCCACCACTTCGAGGTCACCTTCCAGCAGTCCAGCACAGCCAAGTCAGCCACCTGGACGGTGAGTGGACCCTGCTCCCAGCGGCCTGGGGATGGGGAGGCCCTGTCGGGGCACCTCAGGAGGGCTGAGCAGCCGCTGTCCACACGGGTTCCCACCTGGCCCAAGCCGGGAGGAGCATCGGGCGGGAGGCGGGTCTCTGGGCTGGGCAGTCCATGTGTGCCCACCCCTAGGACGCTGGCCAGAGCCAGCCAGCTTCCCCCAGGGCCCCAGAGGGGTAGGATGTGACCCGTCCAGGTGGGCCAGGGGCAGGGGCAACTGGCCAGCTTGCCTGTGCTCAGGTGGGGACCCTGCTTCGAGGGTCATCCGAGTCCACTGAGGCCACCTCCTCTGGGCAGCGTGGCCCTCTGCTGGTTGTGGCCGAGGGCTCTGTCCTGTCTTCTCTGGAATGTCATCTCCGAGCACCGGGGAGGTTGGGGCAGGAGCACGGTGCTGAGGGCTGGGGCCGTGGCCGTGCCCCTGGGGAGAATCTGGCTGGTGCCAACCCCGGGAGCCTCCTCCGTTCACCGTGCTGCTAGCTGGCCCGCGCCGAGTGCTCTGAGCTCAGTGACCACAGGACGGAATCCGTTCTCATTCCCATTTTACAGCCAAGGAAGCCAAGGCACGCGGCGCTGTTCAGATAGCGAGCGGGGCCCTGGGCAAGAGCCCAGTGACACCCGGGCCAGGGTTTCCAGCCACTGGAGCTGGAGAGCAGGGCAGAGCCCAGGTGGCCCCGTCAGGCTCTGCAGGCGGCTGGAGACACTGGTCTGGGGACTGGGCTCCAGCCAGGACCTCCACCGTTGCTTCTGGTTGTTGCTGGCCATTGGCTCCCCAGCTGCTGGCCCATCACTGAGTGGAGGTTCCGCCCCAATCCTGGGGCTCTGACGGGCCGGCCAATTGTGACACCCGTCCAGGGCCCCCCAGCCCCGTCCAGGCGGTTACTGCAGAGCCCAGCCTCATGCCTGTTTCCCCGTCTGTAAGTTACTTCTCCAACCTGGCCGGGAGCTCTGATGAGGTGGAAAGGACCGAGAGCCGAGCAGGTTCCTCCACTGGTCTCCGTCACCGAGTCACCCCTGTGGTGACAGAGTCCCTGCTGCCTGGGGCCCCTGGGTGAGGCTGTCCCATAGCGGCTGTGCCTGCCCAAGGTCTCTCTGTTCTCTACCGCCCTAGTGGGAGGGAGGCTTGGCAGTCCAGCCAGGTGACCCGAAGCCAGGTGAGGACACCCAAGACACCCCACCCGCACACCTCTAGCCCAGGAATCCCACTACCACCTGCTTCTGTGTCCAGCCTCCTCGCCCAGGTTATTCTCTCCCTTCTGGGGGTGGGGGTGCCCATTCTCCTAAGTGACACTGTCATCAGAGTCTGAGATTCTGGAGAAGGAGTCCCTTGAGTCCTGGCTGGGTAGAGGCTCTGCCCCCTTCCTTCCCTTTGTTGGAGGATGCTGGTGGGGTCTTTGCAGTGCCCCGGGGCTCAGAGCACCTCACAGGGTCTGAGCTGGTCCTCAGGGAGGAAGAGGAGCTGCCCGCCTGCTGGCTGTCTCCCCCGACATGAGGCTCTGCCACCCCTGCCAGGGCTCAAGGGACATATGGTTTGGCCCTACTGTCCTGCCCTAAGTCTCCCCATGGGGTGGTCTGCTGGCCACTGAGGCAGCCCTGGTTGACCAGCCACATGGGTTGGGCAAGGTGCAGCCTCCAAACTGGCCCCCGTTTGGTGCCCAGCATCAGAGCCGCGCAGCGCCAGGGTGCTGTGCCTGCGCAGGGCCCTCCCCCTCCCCGTGCAGCTGGTGGAGGTGGGACCAACATTGATAATGAGATTTTTGGCACCTTGGCTCTCKGGGAGCAGACCCCTGAGAGCTTTTTCACTTGCCCAGGGAGGGGCAGGCAGCCACTGCTGTCAGTTCTTGGAGGTCCAGCTGTGTGGGCGCTGCCCAGACTTGCTGCCCTGGACTCAGCACCACGCGGTGCTCGGCCCCTGCCACGCTGCTGGCTGGTAACTGATAGATAATTCATATTTTTCTCAAGTACAATTCCGCGTTGACTGCTGCCCTCGTTCTTCTCCCAGATCAGCAAAAACACCCTCGCTAGCCCCCAGGTGACCACAGCTGTTAATGTCGTCCTTGGCCTCTATTGTGCTGGAGCTGCGATGGGCCTCCCCAGCTCTGGGGTCCACTGCCCCATCGGCTTCCTCAGACCTCGGCTCTGCTACCGCACCCAGGGGTCTGGAGCCCTCCGCTCAGGGGCTTGCATGTCTGTGCCCATGTGCATGCATGTGCACACACAGACGCGGGCACCCCCACAGGCTGGCCACACTGATGCACACGGGTACTTGGGAGCACACACGTGTGCATACATCCATGGCACACACAGGCAGGCCTCAGGTTGCCATCCAGGGTTCCGACGACCCACACCAGCAGGCAGGTCGGGCAGCTGGAGAAGGCTTAATGTTTGGCTACAAGGCTGTGGCCAGTGACAGGGACCAGTGACAGGCGAGGACAGCTTGGCTGGCAATCTCTGTAAGTGGGATGGGTAGAGCTGGGACACCTGCTGGTGTCCAGGTCCCCTCCCAGGTCTGCTTGTAACCTACTGCTGTGTCACCTCCCTGCCCCCCGTCCCCTGCCACAGGAGGAACAGGTACAGATGGGCTGGCTCTCGGGCCTTCTCAGCACAGGGCCTGGCGCCAGGAGCACCCTGCAAGGTCTGCCGTTGTAGCCGTCCTGGCCAGTGCTTGTTCCGTCTCAGGACCCATCTGGGATCCGGGGAGAGAGACACTGGGAAAGGCTACAGTTGTGAGCCAGTGAGCACTGATGCTCGGTGGACAGTTGGACTGGGGGCTGGGCCGAGGTTGAGGGTAGCAGTCCCTCTTGCCCATTTTGTGACCTTCCTAGGACATGGGCAGTGTCCTAGGCCCTGTGGACACTCCTGTTCTAGGAACTACCCCTATTAGCTGGCAGTGTGTGGATAGCTGGCCCCAGGGGTCTCCTGAGCAGAGGAGGAGCAGGTGCCATCTCCTCTACCCACTAGAGAGCCCGACACAAGGGTCCCTGAATGCCACCCAGCTCAGCCCCTTCCTGCCTTGCAGGGACGCAGACAAGCTTGGTGTTTGGGAGGGTTAGAGATGGGCTCTGTGGTCAGTCAAGAAGGCCCATGTGGGTGGAAGCCCTGGCCCCACCAGGCATCTGTGGGCACCGGGAGGCCAGACTTCATGGAATAGCCGACTGAGTGCTTAGAGGCAGCTGTGGGAGGCTGGTGGCGAGGGCATGCACAGGAAGGAGGCCACAGGTGGAAGCCCTCGGAGGGACATGGCCTGGACACGGCCCTGAGTAACCCCAGCTGCCCTCAGATTCAGGGTGTGTGTGTGGTCGGGTGGGGGCCAGCGGATCCATGTGGCGTGAGGGCCCCCCGCCCTGGGGGAGCTGTGGAGGGCGGGCGGGAAGCGCAGAGCGCTAGGAGGGATTTCTGGGGAGGACAAGGCTGAGTCAACACTAATGGATTTGGAGAAAACTTTCCAGCCCCTCGGAGGTTTGCAAGCCAGAGAAGAATAGCAGAGGTGTCCCAACACGATTGTGGTATCAATTGCGTTATCCTAAAAGTTTATGGAATGCATAAGTGGAATTAATACTTTTACTGGCACCAGGAGCAATTATGTGTATTTAAAGCCAAGGGAAGAGTTCTAACAGTGTTTATTGTGGAGATGAAACGTGGATTATTGGGGGAAAGGAGAGCACTTAGGGGAGATGGCTGTGATTGCTCCTATTGTACAGCAGGGCTCTGCCCAGGGAGCACCCAGCAGTCGGCTCTGGCCAGGGTCAGTGCCCGGTCTCCTGGCTAGAGGTGGCTCATCTATTCTCTCTCTGTCCTCTTGACAGCCAGAGGACCCCTGGCCCTGGTCACAGAACTTGGTCTGAAGGCCATGAGGGAGGCTGGAAAAGTCAGGCTTGGAGGCCCTGGATTGGCTGCAGCCCGGACCCCAGCAGGCTGGTCCTGGGAGCGGAGAGCCATCCCCAGCCAGAGGGCCCCACTTCGCACCACTGGGCTCTTGTAGGGCCCCTGGGAAGACTGGCTCCTGCCCCGTGGGCTCGGGGATATGGAGAAACAGGACCCAATTATTTGTTAGGAATAATGGTCCATTTTCAAAGACTTGTTTCCAAAGTGGTGGTCGCTGCATGGACCTGAGTTCTGACCACAGAACTGACCACACCACTGCAGGGCCCCTGTGTGCTGGTCCCACAGCTGCAGGAGGCAGGCGCTTCTCTCTCACTTCACAATGGAAGAACTCGGCCTCCCAGAGGTCAGGTCAGGGCAGGTCACCTTGACCCCAGCAGCCCAACCCTGAGAGCCTGTTCATGGGTTGCACGGACTGCCCACCTCGCTGGGCACACCCCAACCAGGGTCCTGTCCCGCAGTCTCACCATGGCTCCAACTCCATGGGGGTGAGTCTGGGATGTGTCAGACCTCTGTGACCCAGGGTACAGAGGTGCTGACCCTCAGAGGTCTGCCTGCTTGGCCCTGGGGGAGCACAGACCTTGCCCCGTGAGCTCCTGTTACTGCAGAGGTAGAGCCTACCCGAAGCCCAAGGAGCCGAGTTTTAAACCAGCAAATGGAAGGTCCTCTAGAATCTCTATCACTGGGATGCTCTGGGGCTGACCAGACTCCAAGGAGAGGAGTCAGGCCAGCCGGGCCTGCGGACAGTCCCTCCTTACCTCTCCTGGTGCTGTCCCGTGGGCCTGGCCCCGCCCACCTCACCCCAATCCCACCAGCCTGTTTTACAGGTGGGGAGGGCCCACTGCAGGGTTCTCCTGGACCTGGTGCTGAAGCCGGGATGGGACCTGGACCGTGTGGGGCTCGGGACGTGGAGGCCGTGCTGAGCAGGAGCTGGGGTCTCTCTCCCAGTCTGCTGCCTTCCTGCCCCTTCTGGGCCAGGGAGGGCTTTGGGATTTCCTCAGGGCCCACCTGGTGGCTAAGTTCAAGTGTGTGGACGGGCAACACAAGAGTCCACTGGCCCTGGTCCTGGAGGCCCAGCCCCTG